CACAAGAAAATAAAGTATCTAATCCTTCTAACTGATAACACGCAAGAGTTTTATTAGAACATCTAATCATGTAATGCATAACATTTCTGCCTTTACTTAGTCCTGATGTCAGAATTGTAAATATCATTCTAATAATCTCTACACTTATTATATTACTCGAAGGATAATTGTAATTTTCTATTTGTTGTGGACAAATGTATAAACGTCGAAGTAACAAGTCAATGAAATATGAAGGATATCTGGCCGTCAAAAATTCGTTCACAAACCAGTCAGGTAAATGGAAAATGGAATCTGATATATTCAATGTATTTAAGATCTCAAGTTCATCTTCCTGCTCTTCTCCTTCGCTTGTTTCATCTTCCTCTCCATTACAGGTTTCTTCTATATATTGTAAGTTGTTGATATCTTCATCAAATGTGAAAGTTATATTTACAGAATGTGTGACGACTTGAGCAGCATATTCTGGTGAAAATCCTAATGGTACAAGTATACCTGCAGATGCATTTGTATAAACATTTACATTGGTCTCTATTATGTTCAATATCCTTTGTCTTACAGGCTTAGGTAATCTGCAGAGAATATTAATCACTGCTTTGTCCAATGTGTGTTTACTCAACCAAGTCAGAGTTGCTTGTATAAGGAAATGTTTGCGATTATATCTTTTTTTTCCTCCTTTTTGCATTCCCAAATGTTTAAAAAAGTTTTTAAATATGCTACTCTTTACATAGTCATTCCCCAATAATATAGCAGCTAAGGGTAGCATAGACTGATTCAAACCACTAAAAGAGTTCAGCAGGTATTCGACCTTATACATTTTACAGCGTTTCATATAACCTTGTCCAGTTGAACTTTTTACAGTATAGGGATGTAATGTATCAAATGGTATATACATTGTTCCATAAATATAAAAATCAGAATCATAACTGAGTACAGGACAATCTAATATCTTTGCTACAGAAGCTATCGAATTATCAGCTTCAAGTAAACATTGAGCATGTCGAATGTTTTTCTCTCTTAAAACATCTTTGAATACTTGTTTGTTAAACAGAGGAAAATATTTCATACGTTTCTGAGTCATTGGAGAAAAATTAGATGCTGTATGAACCATTTCCTTCCGTCTTCGTATGCATGTTTTCAATTTTTTGTTTTCGCAACCACCATCTAGGAGAACTAATGGTGTTATATTGCATTTTAGGAGATCGTCAAAGAAATCTGATACACATTCGGCATAATTGTCATAATCACCGCCGAACGCACAGTTAGTCCTGGTGCATAACTTATATAGGTAACATCCAACGCTATTGCCGTCGATTACTAAGTATGTATCATGTAGTTCGTAATATTTTAAGTAACGATCTGATTGATTGTTTATGTAAGTTGTTAAACCTTTTATACCCATCTTGAAACAATATTTTTGTTTTCATTCATGGTTAATAACACAAATTGAGTTTATATACATATTTCCTTATATGTATACATTCACTATATGCTTTGTTTGACTTTCATGTTAACTTTATGTTATAAATGTTTATAAAGTAAAACGTAAACACACTGTTTTAACTTCTTTTCGTACATCGGTCTCTGACCTCTAAACGTGTGCAAGGTGATTATATATGTATATATCTATGTATACATGTATCTATATACATATGTATATAGATAGTATACATGTTTATGTATACTGTACTGTTGCTTGATACATTGTACATATGTATTGATTCTCTATGACTACTCAACATCATGAGTGACTACTACATATTCTATAAAAATTTTCAAACAAATAAAAATTTTAAATTGTACATAGGTATGAACACGATGTGTATGTATATATGAAATTTGTAGATTTGATATAATAATTTAATAATCGTTATTCTATGTATTAAATTATTAATAAATTGAGTAATTATGAGAATGTTCTACAACAAACATTATCGAAGCTTCCATTATCCGAATGCTTTGCTATTTCATTATCTACGCTTTAGACGGGCAAGTGTAAATGGCAAGTCCTTATAGAATCTTTAACGAACAGATTTATATATTCACAAATATTAGATTTAATGCAAAAATGGAATAATTCAGAAAAAAACGTATGATTAATTAATCGATTATCGTCTGTAAGAATTAAATAAGCTGAAGAAAAGAATGAAGAGTAAGAGACAAAAACAGAATAATTTTTATAATAACATGGAGGTTTTACATTTTAAAGTACTTTAAACAATTAATTACAGAACTTTTCCCTATTTAACCTGTTCCCATACTAATGGCGTCAAAACGGAAGCGTGTAGTGTTAAGTATAATAACAAAACACGAAATTATTCGAAAGTTGGAGAGTGGTGAAAGTGCAGCGAAATTAGCGAAAATATATGGTATCGGGAAAGCTACTATTACCGGTATTAAAAATCAGAAAGATGCCATTGAAAATTATTTGATGCAAGCAGATACCTTGGACATTGCTGTCAACAGAAAAAGTATGATGGTGCCAAAGTATAAAAATGTAGATGATGCTGTGTTTCAATGGTTTCTAGAAAATAGAGATAAAGGAGTACCTATATCTGGGCCTATTCTATGCGAGAAGGCATTGGAGTTTAATGAGAAATTAAAAGGCAATCCAAATTTTAAAGCAAGCAGTGGTTGGTTAGAAAAATTTAAGTCACGTCATGGTATTCGAGAACTAAATATGTCTGGTGAAAAGTTATCTACCGATAATGTTACTGAAGAAAATTTAACAGTGGATCTTCACAAATTCTTAATCGAAAAAGGGTATGCGTTACAGAATATGGATAATGAAGATAAAAGAGATATAACATGTACAACATTACAACAGAAGAATGTGACTTCCCAGCAGGAAAAATTAGATACCAACAGTAAAGTTAGTAAAGATCATATTAACGCAATCTCATGTGTTAATTCAACCACATGTCATCAAGTTCCACTTTTGCTATTTGGAAAAAGGAAAAAAGTATGTTATAAACATTAATAAGCACTATTGCACATTGAAATAGTTCAACGCATTCTTTGTACTGGTGATCAAAATTATTAGTAATATATTATTATTTATTTATAGTTAAAGTCACACATTGTATATAGTTGAAAGGACTGCATGGAAAATGGTAAATGATCCCGATCAGTATACTAAAATGCAATTTTAATGCATCTGTCATTTTGCAATACTTTACATAAATATTTATACTCTGAACCAATAGATATCGTAAGGAATAAATAATATTTAAAAACAATCCTGAAATTATTTCTGTTTTTAATAAACGCTTTTAATTATATAAATGTGATGCTAGATTGTTAAATTAATCGATTTTCATTTATGCATGATATAAAAATACATGGTAAAAACGTAGCATTTATTTTTGTAATTATTTAAAGATTTGTACATTATATACAATGTAATGTACTTGTGTTTGCACTATGTACATAACATTTAAAGGGAATGTTTCACACGTTTCATGTTTCGAAACTCATTGCAGCTTCTTGATATTATTTATAACTTCGCTGAAAAATAAAAATATAAAATTTTCTATTAAAAAGTCATTATTTTTCTAATTTTTTGTATAATACATTATATGTAAAGTGCAGTTTATAAGTAAGTAGTGTTACTACTTTTTAACATTACTAATTTGCATTTGTAGAACACATGCAATGAAAATACTACATGAATTTATATGGACCACTATTTCTGTTTTTTCCCTATCCAATATTAATACATTAAGATACTGTACAAGCATTACTTGCTCCAATATTATTACTAGATTCCTGTTTTTCTAAGCGTGCTTTATCTCTTTCATCCCACAGTGTAAGTCCATCACAAGCACAGATCTTTTTCGCATTTTGAAACAAGCCAGATGAACGAGCAATAACACCACAAGCCAATCTACAAAAATATTAAATAAATCTTTAATATTGGAAGCTTTATAATGACTATTATATTAATACCATAAAAATAATGCAAGATCTACCTATTTCCACTGTTTCCATTTATTTTAGAATCTGGGACACTTCCCTTTCCTAGATCATCTGGATTTTCTGTTATAACTAGGGATCTTCCAATAATATCAGGTATTTTGATTAGTGTGTCTAATTTCCTAAATGTGGCTCTACCAACCTCATTTGCTGTTATATTACCAAGATCTCCTATATGCTATAATTAATTAGAATTTTATAATAGATGAACCTTCTTTAATGGTCAATTGATTTGACCATAGATCTACTGTCGACATAATCTACAATATTACCCGTTTATGAACATCATCTTCAGGTCCCCCATGTACTGTATTATTTGGATTAAAATGTTCTCCAATACTATAAACATAACACATAAGATTTAAGAAGTAAAAATTATGAAAGCAGATGTGGTACTAACATTTACCTACCTGTCACAGCCATTTGAAATATCACCACATTCATGTATATGTATACCGTGCTCTCCTGGCTTTAAGCCATCAACTGTCCCATCTATAATACAACCGTCAGGAATCTGTGCAAATCTTATGACTCCCATTATCTTGTTACTCACGCTATACCCTGAATTTCCTCCTAACATTGCCACTGCACTAAGAGAATCTATAATTTCAAGAATCACATATGATATTGAAGGATTATTATTATAATTGATTCTGGCAGTATCTTAGACAAAAGCAATTATTTTATGTTTTCTTACTTCCATATCCCTTCAAAATAGCTTTTCTTCCAGACTGTTCAATTTTTTCTTGTATTATCGAATACGGTAAATTTGTCTGAACAATAACATTCCCTTTTTCCAACGATATATCGATATTTTCAATTCCTTTTACATCGGCTAAACTTTTTTCTACCGCTTCGACGCATTTTTGACAAGTCATGTTCACCGCAAATTCAATCTGAAAATTCGGATCAACATCTGAATGTTCGGTATAACAACATATGCGAACAATATTTTCTCTTACTTCTACACGTTACCTTTGCCGATATCATTTTTGATATCCTATAAAATTATTTCTTGACGGAGAATAATTAGGTGATTTCTCTAGCGACAGATGATGTTTGATTGGTTATGTTTGCTTTAAGGTTATGTTTTGTATGATAAGGTAGCAGAAAGTTTTCGGCACTGCGATGAATGTTTCAAAATAAACAAGTTTTAGAAAGTACAGTAGAATTTCTCTCTTAGTGGTGCCGTATCGTTTATTAAATTAATATCCTGCGTTAATAACTACTTATTGTAACGGTTTTAATAAATATTTGAATTTTAAATACAACTCTGTTTCAAATTACAAAAATGTATGCACAAATGCCTTGACATATGTACATATGTATGAAACGTGTAATCTGTCTCTCCTTCTGTTTTGAAGATTTTTCTGTCAGTACAAACATTCAATTCAATGTAAAACACCTTTAACCGTAAAAAAAGCTTGGCATTAGGAAATCTTTGAAATTTTTAAACTCATATATATCCCTATGCATGTACATATGTATGTATGTCATACATATAATCACGTATAATGTAATACATTTGAGCTTTTAAATTTGTTAATATACTATACAGTATATGTATAACATTACGCCACATTGCGCTTCATTATGGCGAATACACTATAGTATTCTCATTGTGGCGTCTTACACTTGTATATATATTACGTATTCTAAAATGTTTGGTTGAGAATAAAATAAAATAATTAAAACAGAAGTATGTAAGTACAATGTACGCATAATGAAAGTATTTATTTGTAAAAGTTACTATATCATCAACAGTAACAGAAAAGTAAAGTCACTATAATTCGATAAAAAGCAGATTTATTAATGCTGACACAAGTACACTTACGTGACAATTAATTCTAGCATTTTTACAAGCAAAATTAACATTACATACATAAAAAAATTATCATAAATTTTTCAAGGAAACTTACACACGATGCTTTATTTATACTATTTTATGAACTTTGATCTTCACTAGATGACCTAGTAAATAATGGATTTCGAGTTTTTACCGTCTGCTATATTTTACCATAATAGTTCGCGCGTTTCTCACATGGCACGCTCTTTTCCCAAGCTTTCTATTTTAGAAATGAACAGTAACCATCTCCTGTTTGCAAAACCAGAAATTTTGTAAAGGAATCGCTTGATCGTGATTTGCTATATTTAGAAATTCCTGTCGGAGAAGGAATTATGTGCTGAGATTAAGCAAGCCATCATTTTTTACGATTTTGAAGAACTTATATTGTGTTGTGCTTTTTTTCTGGATGTTGAAGCTGTGGTGTAATAATGTGGCTAACCGATACCGTAACGAAATTTTGAAGTTCCAAATGTGTTTAACGATTCACAGGATGTCACCAATAATATACTGATTTAGCTGAAACAGATCGTAGTAAAATAAATTACGTATCACGAATATCGAGCGATTTATAAAATATCATAAAACATGTCTGTGACCTTTGCTCAACGCGGTAGGCCGCCACCGAATCCTGCCCAAATACAGAAGGTAATATTTGCCCTAATATTTATTATTATTGTATAAAATTATCTATAAAAAGAATATATTTTTCTAATGCTAGAAATTTGTTAGTTAAAGATGTAATTTGTGAAAATGAACAGACAGACAAATGTGGGATAAGTATTATTATTAATGATTATTTGTAGATGCTTGACGAGAATAGTCAGTTAATACAAACAATTCAGGAATATCAAAATAAAGGAAAGTCGCAAGAATGTATACAGTGAGTATAAGATATTTTTAAATATCTAACAAATTTATTATTATAATTATATTTATTGTATGCTTTTTATTTAGGTATCAACAGATGTTGCATCGTAATTTGGTATACTTGGCATCAATTGCTGATGCCAATCAAAATATACAAGCATTATTACCTGTAAGAAGTTTTATTTGTATAATTTAATGGTATTTGCAAGTATAGTACTAATAATTTTTCTTTTACATGTAAGCCTCCACAAGGAATACCTAATGGTCCTCAACATACTATGATGAATCCTCAAGGCCTTCCAAATCCTCCTGCAGGTTCAGGTGGACCTGTAGGAGATATGCCTCCAAATAGTCAACCTACACTACCAATGTCGAGTTTTAATCAAGGACAACCAATGTCACAAGGTGGATATCGTGGCCCTGTCATGCCTGGACAAGGACCTGCTATAATTAGTATGTTGTATCTAAATTATGTCTACAAATTGAAAATCATTAAGTATAAAAACAGTTACAGTTTGTTCTTTAATGTGTTCCATTGTATAGGACCACCTACTGCACCTGGACCGCAACAGTATAGAGGGCCTCAAGGTTACCCTCAACAGCCTTCCCAACAAGGTTATCCAACTCAATATGGTAATCAAAATCCTGGTTCTAATTATCAAGGTCCCCAAGGATCAGCATATACTCCAGGACAACCAAATCAATATGGACCACCAAACGCTTCTCAGCAACAGGGATATAGTGCATCAACACAGCCAAATTATGGTCCTCCAAGTACAGTAAATAGTTATGGTCCTCAACCAGGCGGATATCCACCACCAGGAAGTACTCAACCACCCACAGGATATGGCCCACCACCTCCAAATCAACAAGGCTATCCGCCTACTAATCCTTCTCAACAAAACTTCCCATCAAGTGGTCAACAGCAACAATCAGGACAATATGGTAGTCCTAGCCCACAACCCAATTACCAACAACCCCCATCTCAGCCACCACCTCAAAATGCATATGGAGGAGGTCAACCTGGTAGTTACCCTCCTCCTTCACCTCAAGCATACGCAAATAATGTTCCACCACAAAACTATCCAGCTCCTCCTACATCTAGTGCAGCTCAACCTCCACAACCTGGATCTCAACAAAGTACTGGCCCTCAACCCAATTATGGTAATCAACCAAGTCCTGGCCCGGGTTCAACACAGTATGGACCAGCTTCTACATCTCCACCATTTAGCACTGCCTCTGCGAGTGGAGTTAACACTTATGCCCAAAGTAGTCAACCAACAAGTACACCTTCTGCCTCGACCCAAACTTATCCACCAAGCAGTGGGCCTCCGCCTACTTCTCAAGGCGGCAGCTACGCTCCCACAGTTCCTGCTCCATCCGGATATCCCGTTCATCAAACACCTCACCCGGCGTCGCACCCACCGCATCAACCACCACATCAATCTCCTCATCAGCCACCTCATGCTCCTCATCAACCACCGCATCAACCTTCTCATCAATCGTCTCATCAGCCTCCTGCACATCAATCACCCCACCAGCCACAACAGTCTCAACAACAGTCACAAACGCCACCACAATCACAACAGCAGCAGTCTCAGAATCCTGCCCCAAGCGGATTTCAACCACCTTCGGGACCTCCACAAGGTCCTGCCCCACCACCAGGCCCACAACCACAACCTGGTTATGGACCAGCTACTACACAAACATATGTACCACCAACCCCGGGTGGACAACCACAGGTATATTACCCTTTTTTTCTCATTTCAAGCATTTTATGAATTGATAAACTATAAATAATTTTCAGGTATACACTCCTCATCCACCACAAGGTGGTCAACATTATGGACACCCACAGTATCCTCCTCAAAGTTACCCACCTCCACCAGCAGGACAAGGATATCCTCAGTATCCACCACGACCTCCTGGTGGTCATATGCCTCCACCACCTGGACCACAGGGACCTCCTCCACCAAATCAGTACGGTGGTTACGGCTACCAACCACCTCCACAATAAAGTATATTAATGTAAATTCGTATAGCATTTACACTAATATAAATTGTTCAATTGCAAATTTGGAACAAATGGTATATAAAGTTTTAATTTAATTCTTACTATCATATCGTCTAATGTTACGTAACGGGGCAAATAATACAAGATGATATATGTATAAGGAAAGGTGCTGCTAAAATATCTTCGTATTAACGAAAATCATAAAAAACAATTTCTGAGAGCTAATTCTGTTTTTTAAATAATATACTAGAACTAAAAACCAAAAATGCTTCGATACAAATTAATTATTTGTAGCAATTGTAAGCCCTACACGTGTATATTTATGCGTTTGAAAAGCTTTAAAGAATACCTTTTCTCGTATATAGCAACGTCTTAGAACAACTTTTGCCGTTGAAAATGATATTGTGAAGCCTCTTAATTATAATATCAGACTCTTAGTTTTACTTCGTAAGTTAAGGAAACTGTAAATCGTTATTATTTAATTTTAATAGAGACACTAGATTGTATAGCACTTCAAATGTGCGTTGACTGCTTGAATATCGGTGTACATACTACAGGATTCACATATCTATATCACACCGAGATAAATCGTACCTAATATGGTACATCATGTACTATCTATTTACAGCTTTCAGTATACACATTTGCCTTAGAATTAATTTTATATTTACTTATTCAATTTTTTATTTTCTTTA